TTAATCATTCTGATCCTTCAGAAGCAGATTGAAAGTGTAGCACCTGCAAATGTATGAATAATATAGGCACATTTGGCATCAGACTTTGCCCCAGATGTACCACAAGCTGATGCAGATGTGTTTTTTTATGGCGCTAATTGAATGTTTTAATGCATCCTCCAGTTTTTAGTGATCATAAATGAAATCCATGTTAATAAGATACAGGGAGGTATTAGATTTGCTTTTATTTGTTTGACCTACTTTTAAAGGTTTTTCAAACAACTTCCATTATGTTGAGTAAAATAAAATAAAAAATATTGTTGTGTGCATTAATAACCAGACCAGGTATCAGTGATCTGATGGAATACTGTTTACCAGCTACGGTACCTTTAGATGTCAAAGGTCCCTAAACAAGATCCTTTACTCCAGAAACTTGCACTACCTAATGTGGCAGAGGACACACATGACCCTAAAGGGACATTTCCTTTCAAAACAGCAATGTATCTGTTTAAAATAAACTCATTGATTTTCTTACAATACCTTGAGATTTACATGCTTTGGTTTATCTCATATATATATAAAAAAAAGGAAATTCTGTGGATGCAATGTAAAAACTGTGAAAATGTGTCATTGGTGTCATTTTGTTTCTTTCATGTCCTTAATTAACTAATTATTAACATATCACCTATGTAAAATCAACATTAAAATGACTCCGATGAAATCTAGTATTTTGAGGGCAAAGGGCTGTTCAAAATCAGAGAAAACATCTGAGGAGTTACGTTTATTACATATCAACATAACTCTTAGAAATTCAAACACATTTTAAACAAATACTAAGGAATTCACAGGAGTTAGTTTTTAATATTCTTTTGATGATAAAACTGAAAACATACCAGCTTCTTAGAGATTTTAATTTCTGACAATTTTCTCTACTTTCACAAGAAGTGAGGTATTTATTGTAAACATGGATTACATTTTTTATTTTTTTTTTATTTTTTGTCAGTACTTGTTTGGGGTTGACGCAGAATCATTTTATCACTTTCAAACTCATTATTAATTAGCAGCAGCACGTTTAAGTTCTCCATTCTGCAAATACTATAGTGTTAAATGATCTGTTTAAAAAAGTTAAACCTGACATGAGCACTTCTTTAGCATCTTGAATGATTTCTCTGTATTTTTACTTAAAATAATTGAAAAAAGAATCCTGAAAAAGTAATACTGATAAATAATTCTTTTACAGTTTAAATGGGACATTTTGCAGTAGCTATTCAATAGCATATACTGTACGAGGTTACACATGGCGAGGTAAGGTTTTCTTAAATGTTCTGACTATGAAGAAAAGTTCTAAGAAAAAAAGTAGTGAAAAAATACATTGTATGTGAAGGAGTCAGCCTTAGTCTGCACTTGAACCCGTTGAATTATGACTGGAATGTGAAGATAATGATAAGAGCGCACTAACACACCACTGAAGAACTGTGTTTTAATATTTAAATTAAGAGGAACTCTAAGAAAAAAAGGACAAAAGGACATATATATATATATATATATATATATATATATATATATATATATATATATATATATATATATATATATATATATATATATATATATATATATATATATATAGATATAGATATAGATATATATAATCATATATGTATATTTATGTATACATATATATAATCATATATGTATATTTTGTTAAAACAGATATAATATTTTGTATGTCTTCTTCCCAAACAGGCTCTATGGTTATAACCTGTAATCACTTTATCCAGTTGGATCATCTGAATGTTGTTTTCTGTCTCAGTTGCCTGGGAAACAACCATCAAGTCAACTGAGGAGCCTGTGCTGCCCACTCAGGCTAGTCATATCCCAGCAGAAGATCAGGGCTTGAAAAACCTACCTGGCAGTGTAGCTGAGTTAAAGGAAGAGAGGCCGGGTCCAAGCTTTTGCACTTCCCAGTTGCAGCAGTACAGAAACAACATACCAGGTCAGACTTTTGATCTCATTCAGCTTTGCTCTAGTTTCAGTCTTTGGGGTTCACCTTCTGTCTGCTCTGGAGCTAAGGTCTCAGCTGCATTTCCACATTATATGATCTTTCTCTCAGATTCCTGACATGATTTCTGTTTTTCTACTGAAAGGTGTTTCTGAGAAGAAAGTAACTGCATGACGACACGCCTTGATTCCTGTACCAGAAAACAAAGAGGGGATGGGATGGGAATGTGAGATAGAGAGTGATGAAAGACTCAAAGTATGCTACTTGGTGGAGATATTCAGTGTTTTAAATTTAAGCAAAAAACATAAACGGCAACTAACATTTTTGTTGATATGAAAATTAAATACTGCTCTTTTCTGTGTACCATTATGAGAAATGTAAATCACGTTTTAACTGCACACACTATAACACACTGTTATTATGAAACTGTACAATTAATCTCAAATAAAATGTGATCATCTTGAAATGTATGTGTTTATTCTTTTTCTCAGATTGAACTAATAAAACGACTATAAATGTTTCACAAGACAATGCAACCATAAAGTAGAGGTTGCTTTGCAGTACTAAAACACTAAATAAATGTATCATAATAACTTCAGTTAGCTTGTAAAACGGAGGTAATAACCAGGAAATAAGGGCAAAAAGTCCTTTACCAGGGCTTATGTATGACTGGAAGTCTAATGGCAAGGTTCAATTCATCGCCACATTATTGGATATTTGTCTCTGAATTTTTCCTAAAAAAAAGAGAAGTGTTCATGTTCATAATTGGTTAAACTAATTTATTTTCACAAAAATATGTTTTCACACACAATGCTAGTCAGAATAGAATACAATAGAATAGAATAGATCCCTTTATTGTCCCACAATGGGGAAATTGGGGTGCTACAGCAGCAGCAAACTGTTATTGCAGATGCGGTCACACAAGGTGAACCTTAAAAAAGTTTATAAAAGTAACAAATAAGAAAATAAAACACTAAAGTATTGTAAAGTTCAGTGTTTTTATTATATAAATACTCTGTATCTGGAGAATAAAAAAATCAATATACAGTTGTGGCCATTTTAACAGTAATGGATTAGGGGGAAATATCAGTAACACCAGAGATGTGCAAAAAAGAACAGAACCATGTTATTTAACTAAGACAGAAACTGTGCAAAAATAAGAATTGATAAAACAACTTAAGATTGTTGGGAACAGAGATTAGTTATAAAGTATTACAGCTTCTGGGATGAAGGATCTGTGATAACGTTCCCTGGTGCATTTCGGGTGCAGCAGTCTGTCACTGAAGGAGCTCTCCATTTCAGCAAGAAAACATGCATGGGGTGGGAGACATTACCCAACAGAAATGTTTGTCATTTTGTATTTGTATTTTATTTTATTTAACTTTGCTTAAACTGTTCTGTGGTCCACTAAAGTTCAGCTTATTTTATTTCTGATTCACAAAAAACATCTCAAGGCAATATTCAAAAGAAAACTTCCAAATCATATATACAAAGATAAAGAATTGATCTGATCCTGTTTTAAAGACAGATGATTCAAGTTGATCATTACTGTATTTTATTATTGTTGCAAAAAACAAGTTTTGTAAATGGAAATCTGAAAACAATGCAATCAAGATATGAAACTTTAAAAAACAAAAACAAGCTTTTTTTTCAGAAGGAACTTTGCTGTATTCTAAGTTTAATTTTCCTTTTTTTATTTTTTTTCTGTTGATTTTTTTTTTTCAGAAGGAACTTTGCTGTATTCTAAGTTAAATTTTCCTTCTTTTATTTTTTTTTTCAGTTAATTTTTTTTCAGATTTCCCTTTTTAAGATTAAGTCTTATCATTTGCATTCTTTTTTTAAACTGCTTTTCACATGCATCTTTACTTCAAATGCAATACAAACATTTACTCTTGACTGTACAAATGTTATTGCTATTGCCATGCAGGCCAATAAAAATGTGTCTTCATTTGTCACTCTGTAGGAAACTTGACCATGAAAATTGAAGCGAAATTCAATTTGAAAAATAATAAAAAAAATAAAAATAAATGTTTAAAAAAAATAGAAGAGAAAATTTGAGAAAACCGGATGTTACTCCCACAACCTTCTTTTAATTATAGGTTTTTCAAGGTTTCCTTTCTTGATTGCATTATTATTGTTGTTGTTTTTTAAATTTACATTTACATACATGTTCTTTGTTTGCAACAATAATGGAACAAAATTCGCTCAATAGTTAATAAATGATGTAGTCAAATTCTGTTTACTATTAATATATTATGTTAAAATAGACACAAAATAGTCAGAAAATTAACAAAAGACATAATATGCTATCAGTTATTGCAAATAGTATACAGGCTGATACTATTGGAAAAAAAAAGTCTGGAAAAATGTTAAAGCACATTTTGGATCAAACACTGTTAAAGTGCTTTGCAAATCAACAAGCTACATTTTTTTACAGATTATTCTTGGCGACATATTTTAAGGTCATTCAGTCTGGATGGACTTTTCTGTGAATAATAATTTTGATGTCTTGCCTTCGGTTCTCTGTGAGATTTAGGTCTGACCTTTGATTGAACCAATGTAATGCATGAATGGGCCTTGCTCTAAACCACATGTTATCCAGCCTATCAAAGCTATCTATCCAGCCTTCAAGAGCAAAAATTGTCTATCATGTCATAAAGTAAAGGCATGTGTCCTATTAAAGGGTACAAAGTGGCTAAAACTGCAAAATAAAGGGGTTTAAAGTCATAATACCGTTGCAGTAATGATGAAGTCAAATGTTAAATTTATATGCCAGCAACCAGCCCCAGACTTTATGATGTATTTAATAAGCTTGACCCCAGTTGTATTACCAATCTGGCTGCAGTTTTAAAGTTTGTTTCCTGCTGAAAGATGAACCACAGCATGATTCTGCCACCATCATGTTTCACCATATAGATATATAGCCTATTCCTGTTGATGCACTATGATATCTTCTCTGTCTTTTTGTCCCTCAACTCTTTGTGTTTGTTGCAACAACCCCCGCCCTGTCCTGCACAAGACATTTATCATCACAAAAATGTATGGACGAGGAGGTGGGCTGCGTTTAGACGCTGGATTGGTGCAGACAGGAGGAAACGAAACGGACGAGACGTCATCGCAGGTGTATAGAAAAATAATAATATGAGGTGTGGGTATCAGTGAAGGAGGGTTTGAGGAACTATTTTAGATATATGCTTTCAATAAAAGTAATTTACATGAAAAAAAATCAACATTTTTTATTTTCATCAAAGATTAAAAAAATCAAGGGACACAAATGATAAATTTGCCCATATTGGCCTACTTCTAACATATTGCTATGATATGAAATCCTATTTTTCAACTGTTCAGAGCTAAAGAGACAGAAAATGTTCTTTCTTTGAAATTTAATTTACTGGATTTGGACCGAATGAAAACTGAAGCAGAGTATAAGTACTGTAAAATTTGAGGACCAAGACACCATAGATGGCTGATGAGTGGTTGATTTTGGACAAAAATTTGAGGGGGTTGCTTAAATCTTCCCTATTTACTTTTATGCAGGGTCATCAGAATCCCAGCTGGGATTTAGCAGTGATGCCAGAGAAGCTGAGAGCTCACAGCACCTCAAGATTGACATCCCCTATGAGTCGGCAGAGCTCTGCATCGCTCAGGTAAAGTAGCAGTGCAGGAAAAACAAGTAGAGCTTTCATACAGGCTGAGCTTTTTTATTTCTTACATCCATAAGTGGGTATTCATATGATTTTATGTAATAGATTAACTCCAAGAACCAAATTATAGTGGAAAAGCATTTTTTTCCCAATATTTTATAAAATATATAAAAATGGGAGCCTTTGTCTTAAGCTCTGTTTTGTCTAATACCACAACATTAAATCAGCTGTCTGTAAAGTTCACCTTAATAACAGTGTACTGGTATTGAGAAAAAATAAATCTCTGCTATAACAGTACAGATTATAATTTTTAATAACACTGAACAAATTGTGCTTAAACACAAATCAGTGGTTTAGTGTTGGATTAATTCTTAGAACTATGTCCCAAGTTTAAACACGTCAGGGACTTTGGCGCCACTGCAAACGACTTGGGTCGTTTTGCAAAAAAGGATGGGAAAATTCCTGTTTTTGAATTAGCAAACTTAAAAGAAGGCTACAATTAAAGACTTTTAACTGCAGATGAAGGTGGCTCGATTTTCTTACCCAGGGGCCATAAAGTAAATTTGGCCCTATCTTTAGTTTTATATATATATATATATATATATATATATATATATATATATATATATATATATATATATATATATATATATATATATATATATATATATATATATATATATATATATATATATATATATATATATATATAAGAAATAAATGAACATCCTTTGCTGCACAGTTTTGAACTATTCTTTATTTGGCTATGAGAAAAAAATCCAACAAATACATTAATGTTCAGGATTTAAACAACATAATGTAAAAAAAAAAAAAAAGGAGCATACATATCTACAAGACTAACTATAACTAACGCAAATTAAAATGAACACATACCAAAAAAAAAAATTTCATTTGCATCTCCTTAAAGGATTCATTGCTGAAAGTCAGGCAAACATCATGACGTCTTTGTGCAGTTGTTCAACTGTGAGCACATGGGTAAAAACAATGAAGCTACAGTCAGATGTGCTGTGTTTTTTTCTTACTCACACTCACATGGTTGCCCTCAAGACGCTACCTTGAAGACAGGCGGTCAAAGATGAAGTTTTGTATATTTGGGCTTACTTGCAACATATTGTGCACAAACAGATTGTTGAGGACATGAAAGTAATGAAGAAAAGGCATCTGCAAACAGTACAGGAACTAGAGGCGAATTTCCAGACCAAAACTCAGGAATCACAGGTGAAAAAAGTAGAAAGTAGCATTTATCTGTAAAATTAAACTTAATCACCAATGAAGTTCTGCATGTGTTAGCAGGAATGGATCAAGCAAAAAGTCACATTTCACTATCAGAACAAACTGAATACCCTGAGGAGATTCTTGGAGGTCTATCGTAACAATGTGGAAAAGAAGAAAGCCGACTGGGAGAAGAAAGTCACAGTCAGTCATAAGTTTTCAAACCTTCCTTTTACTCTTGCAGCCTTTCCTTTTTGTGTTTCTAAAGCAAACATTTAAAATCACTAATCATTATTTCTGTGCACACGTGGCTGAAAAGTAGAGGATATAACTCCAGTGTGCTGTATACACAGCAAACAGTCTGAGTCACATTGTGTGCTACAGGAGCTGACTGCTCAGAATGAGCAGCTGCTGGTGGAGCAGAGAGCAGAGAGGAGAAGATGGAAAGAAGAGGCCCTACAATGGCAGGAAGAAAAGGCAGGCTTTAAAACTTTTAAACCACAGCACACTCTAGTGGTAATATTGGAGAAGAGCAGAAATCAACTAAAATTTACAATTGCTTTCAGAGCAAGATGCTGGAGCTGTTCTCCAGCAGGCTGGATATCATGCACTGCCACCAGGCCTCCAGTGAGTAAAGCAGCATTTAGAGACTTACAAAACAAAAATAATGCTAAACTTGCATCTTTTTTCAATTGTCTGCATGCTAATTTAAACAGCATTGCATGAGCTGCAGATGGCCAGACAAGAAATTGGGCAAGTTCAAGAAATGTTGACAGTTTCATCATCACAGGAGCCACATGAATCAGCAGAGGAGGAGCAAGGGTCAGTTAACAAAGAACAAACTATGGTGGGTTGGATCATCAGCGGAATGACAAGATTATTTTATTATTTCAACGCATAAGTTTTATTCTTCATATGAGAGATTAAAAAAAAAAATACTTTAAGTGGAATACCTCGGTCCAGCCATCACAAATGTGGTTTAAAAAAAAACTCAATGAAGGTTTTCATGTGGCCTAGCGATTGCTTATTTAGCTATTAAATTAGATAATCATTTAAATTTTATATTTAAGTTATTTATTTTGGATAGTTTGTCTAATTGTGATCTGAATCCTAGAGTGAGTTATTGCCACTCTCCATCTGTGCTCAGACATGCGCTGTCTCTGATCAGCCACTGGAGGGAGCTAATGCCCGGTTGGAGGAGCTTAAGGAGAGCCTGTATCAGAAGGAAAGGGAGATCACTGAGTTGCTGGAAGCAGAGAGGAGCCCCATCCCTCCTATCCCACAGCCACACTGCAGCATCCTGCTCCCCATTGTCATAACCAAGGTGTTATTTCAACAATGTGCAGAAAAACTGTCATCAAGCTATTGCTCAAATGTTCAACTTCATAATTACTGTCTTGATACTTAAAAAAAAACATTTTCCTCAAGGCCCATGAAATCACTAGTGCAGTGGCTGAGTCAAGAGCTCTTTTGGACCAAATGATTGAAGACAATCAGGTCGCTCTGGCTGAAGCCCGGGAAAAACTGCGTCTGCACCGTCAAAGCACTAAAGAAGACAGCAATGATAAAGAAAGGCCCTCCAATCAAGAGGGGTTAGAGATCATTGATAGTGTGCATAAAGCTAACATGGCTTTCCATATGCTGAAATCATTGAATACATACTTTCAGTGAGCAAAATGATCAGAAATGCAGTTTTTTGTTTTCCTTTACCTTGCAGATCAGATGGGTCAAGTTTGTCTTTTCTTCAAGAGGCAGTGAGGGAGTGTGAGGTCTGTCAAATTGCTTTGGATTGCCTCAGAACTGGAGAAAGCCCTGTTTTGAATGGTGAGTTCAAATCTAAGATCCACGGGATGTACATACATTTAAAATAGCCTTAATGGTCAAAACACTGATCATATAATCTACCAGAGTTTGACTAAGAAAAGAGGTGTATCAATTTGCAAATTAACTTTGATAGACTTTGATTCATGTTTCCAAATTATGGGTCCGCAGCAAGTATTTGTAAAAAAAAATAAATTTCCCATCCGCTGTTTCTTGTAAACGAGCCAACCAATTTAAACACATCAACTATCAGTAGAAAACAGACAATGAATGAAACCAATCCTCTATTGAACTAGCATCTTAAGTTTAATTCTAAAATTGTGATTACATTATTCTTACAAACACAGCAAATCATCAATTTTAAATTTCTTCTCTGAGAAATTGTGCAAACCTTTTATTTAAGTTTGAAATGTCCTCGCTGCTCAGATTGTGAAATGTCTGAACTGGAGGACCTTGTGGGACAAGAGACACTTTCAACCTCACAAAGGTCCATAAAAGTTGTTGGCCATCAACTTCTCCTGCTGCAGGATCAGGTAGGTGTTTATTTAAAAACCCCACAATGACATAAGTCCTCATTTCCAGAACTGTATGTAGATTACGCAGTTATGGGCCTCTAGACTAGAGACTGTTATGGGCTTTATGTGGATGGGTTTCTTTTATGCTTTTAAATTACAACAGATTGAATGCTACAAAAAACAGATACTAAGCATTTTGCTCCAAATCCACCCATTTATACCTCCTTAATCCTTGCAGGGTTATCAAATAGAATAGAATCATTTTTAATGTGTGGCAACAACAGCACACTAATTCAAAACATGGTGGTAAAGTTTAAAATAAAATAAAAACAAATAAAGTTTAAAAGGAAAATCTTATTCTTCAGAATTAAATGTTTAGTTTTGGGGCTTAATGGTTGGGTTAAATTTAAGGCTATAAGATTTTCTTTTTAGGCTGTCTCTAAGTACTTATTTACTATTTTACGGATGGGCTTTTAAAGTAGACCCTACAGGCTACTGCTTACTGAAGTAATGCTGGAAATGTATCCTAACTATTTAAAGTAAGAGTTTTTTAAATGCACATTTCATCATCAACCTCCCCAGATTTCCATGAGCTTTTTCATTGTGTTTTAGTTGAAGCGAGAAAAGGAAGAGAAAAAGAAAGTGATTGAGAATTACACAACAGAAAGGGCAATGAGGAAAAAATATTACAACATGGTGGAAGAAATGAAAGGTACACAAATATTATCCACTTGACATCGGTTTTGACTCAGCAATAAAAATAAAAAAATTAAATTGATTCTATTTCTCTATCTATACTTCTGTTTGATCCCGACCAGGTAAAATCAGGGTGTTCTGTCGAATCCGTCCAGTGTACCGCAGTGAAGCCACACAGGGTGGGGCCATTGTGGTGGATAAATTAGATGATTACTCTGTTTCCGTGGAAACTCCCCGTGGGCCCAGAGAGTTTCAGTTTGATAAAGTGTTCAGTGCAGAGGCCTCTCAGGAAGACTTGTTTCAGGATGTAAACAGGTGAAACGATGCAGACACCAAATAAAGTTCTGTCTGGACTGACTTACAGCTTTGTTCCTCCCCAACAGGCTGATGCAGTCAGTCATCGATGGCTTCAATGTTTGTATCTTTGCCTATGGCCAGACAGGCTCAGGGAAAACCTTTACCATGGTTGGGGACAAAGATCAGAAGAACCCTGGGATTATGCCTAGATCGTTTAACGCCATATTTAACATCATGCAGGAGAACACCTCTAAATTTGACTTCAAGGTATTATCGGCTTCCCATTGCTCCCTCCTGTTTTTCTTTCCCTCCAGTTGTGGTGCCTCTTAATCCCAGAGGAGGGTAGAGTACCCCAAAATTGTACTTAAATATAAGTAGAACTACTTCATCATATTTTTACTCAAACAAATGGAGAAAAAAAAACAAAAATAATTTACGACTTCACTCAAGCAATAGTCAAAATGTTTTTTGTGCAACGCTAACCAATACTGATCTACTTACAGTGTTATTTATGACCATAACATCTAACTTAATATTTTAAAATTGTGTAAAGCTTTATAACATATAAAGTTCCTTTGAAACAGAAGTGTCAAAAGTATTAATGTTTATTACTTAAGTACAAGTATAAATCCTACTGTTTAATAAAATACTTTTGTAAAAGTTCAGAGTATTAACTTAAGCTTTTTACTAAGTTAAAATGTAAAAGTAAAAGACTACTTTAAGTATAAAAGTAATTCAGGAAAAAATGTTACAGACAGATTCTTCAAACGTTATAATGTTTATAATCAAAGGAATATTTTTCCACAATTCTTAATGATAACTTCCTTATACTTAAATTTCTTAGTTTTATAACTAATGACAAGAGTGTCAAATTTAACTTTGCATCATCTTCATGGAATATTTAATCTGGATTGTGGCGACCAACAAGTTGATGCAGCACTGATTCCAACCAAAAGAAATGAATTGTCTGGATGAAACAATTTTTTTTTTATGTTGTTTATTTTTATTTAAAATACCAACAGGCCCTAGCAAAAAAAAAAAAAAAATAAATACTTAAATGAAACAAAACTAACAAGTATATTTTTAAAATGTAAGGAAACTAGAGATAACTGCATGAAATATAAGTAGTAGAAGTAAAAAGCTGTCTTATGAAATAACTACTCCAGTAAAGTATCGATAGCCAAAATTTCTACTTAAGTAAAGTAATGAAGTATTTGTACTTTATAAATAAACCTCTGCTTTCAAAATATGATGTCTGACGAGTAAGATAAGAAGAAATTAAAAATAAAACAAACTGTTAGACAATCAGTTGTTACACTGTAGCTACAAAACCATTTTAGGTGGAAGAAACAAAACATATTTTTAATATGTTTTATTATAAAACTTATGACTTCAATATTTGCAGTATGGTATATATATATAGGTTAGAATAGTTACAACGGAAAGAGTAACCAGGAATTTTAAGAAAGTAAGAGTAGTGATTCCCTTATCATATTTTTACTCAAGCAGAGTTAAAAAGTACAATGTAGTAAAACGACTCCTAACAGTCAATTTTCTTCTAAATGTAACTGAGTTCATTTCCTCCTTTCCTCAGGTTTCCGCCTATATGCTGGAGCTGTACAACGACAGGCTGCAGGACCTCTTTGTGAGCCAGACGGGTGAGGCCCATGCCCAAACACAACCCCATGGCCCGACTAGGCGGGTGGAGATCAAACGGAACAGAAAGGGGGTTGTGTTTGCCCAAGGAGCAGAGACAAAGGAGGCTTCCAGTGCCCAGGAGCTTTATGCACTGTTCCAGCAGGCTTGTGCCAACCGACACATCTCCGCCACCAGTGAGTGTCACCCAGTTCAAACCAGGCTTGGATTAATTCTTTAAGCTGCAGTTTGTGAATGACAGCACCATATGCCATTATTGACCTGATGAGAAGAAAAAACATCAATTTGGTTGAGTGCATTAATAGCATATTATTAACTCAGAACAAGGCTGCGTCACATTTCCAAACTAACAGTATTTGTTGTTGGTTTTCGTATTGCTGCTGTTGTCAAGAGATGAATGTGGAGAGTTCCCGCTCTCATCTTATTGTTGGCATCATGGTGGAAAGCAGGAATCTGACTAATGGGAGTGTGAACTCAGGAAAGCTAAGCCTTGTCGACCTGGCAGGGAGTGAAAGGGCAGCAAAGACCGGTGCCAAGGACCACCAGCTTAAGGTGTGCTTATTTGTTACAATGCAAAGTACCTAGGTTTAAGGTTTACACATTGTACACAAACTGTAATTATGATTTTAGGAAATAATAATAATGCTAAATGTGGAGTGGGGTGAATTAACACTCATCATGCCCCACCCCAGAATGAGCTAGAACTTATTTTAGTAGGTTTTAAGTTGTGCAATAGTCTTTCTACTTTCAGACAGTAGATTAAGCATAATCTCTGTGGAAAAAAACAAAATAAAACCGAAGGCTTTAAAAATAAAAGTAGAATCTAACCTTGCATTATTCTTCTCCACAGGTTTATCTCTCACCTGTCTACTGCATTTCTTGGCATTTGTGTTATTAATCAATTTTCATAGCAAACCTTTAATTTTGGTTCTTTTTTTTTTATCTATCATTTTTATCTTTTTTATGTAATTATCTTATTTTATTGATTCACTTTTATTCTCTTTAATTATTTGTTTTGAATATGCCACTACAATGTACATTTAGTTTCTTTTTTTTCTTGTGTACAGCACTTTGAATGATCTTGCATCTGTGCTATATAAATAGGCTTGCCTTGTCTTTACAGAACAGCAACATTGATTAATTTCAAGAGACTCAACTGAACTGTAACTTGTTAGTTGACCAATAATGGGCTTTCTGAAGATAACAGAATTTGACAGAATTTTATTTTGAAGTATCAAATCAAAGAAGATTGAATATCAATGTGAAACTTTTTCAGTTATTAATAGTAGACTAATCAAGAATGCCTCTTGATTATGCATAATCAAATTAAAATATTGTACGTTTGGGGGTCTGCAGGGGTTTGCAAGTTACTTTATATCTAAAATGAAATATCAAAACAATTCCAGCCTAAAAATGTAAATTTGAACAATGTGCTATTTCACTTTTTGCAGGAGGCAAACTCGATCAACAAGTCTCTGAGTGCCTTGGGTGATGTGATCTCTGCTTTGTCTGCAGAGCTGCCGCATGTACCGTACAGGAACAGCAAGCTAACACAGGTGTTGTTCCAAGACTGCAAATGATATAAGAAATATGCAGTAAACTATAACCTGATAAAAATGAAAAATGCTCCTGGATAATTGTCTCTTCTACATATTTCTCAGGTTATGCAGGACTCTTTGGGTGGAAACGCCAAAACCCTCATGATTGTCAACATCTCCCCATCAGAACACAACCTTGAGGAAACTATCACTTCCCTCATGTAAGAATTAGACACAGAAGACAATTATTTATGTACTGAGCTGGAAACTATCCTAATAGTGACATTTGAACCGGATGGACCTTTCAGTTATGCAACCAGAGTGAAGGCCATAACTAACAACGCTCAGAGAAATGTGGACAGTAAAGAGATCGCCCAGCTGAAGGAGGTGTGTCCATTTTTAATATGTAATGCATTCATATAAATCCCTCCTGAAAGTGAGTAAAAAAAAAAAAGCATGTAAGACTAAACAGTTGATTGGACTTCAAGCTGTTTTCTTATCTCTGTTTCTCAAAGGTGATCATGAAGCTGAAATCTGGACAGACAGTGGAAGAGGTGGATGTCTGAGGGATGCGGAGCTGCATGTTGTGTTTTGTGTCATGTTTTAATCTTTCATTAAAATCTATATTCATTTTCAATACTGGATAAAGATCACAATGCTGGAAAATAACATTTGTTTTATTGGAGGATTGCAGAGTATTTGTAAATGGATACTGATGAATGGAGCTAAATCAATAAATGTCCTTTAATTCACTATGTGTCTAAAAAAACATGCAAAGAATTTGTACTTCAAAGCACAATCCAGTGTAAGTAAAAATTCAATGCAAAAAGCAGATGTTCTGTTGGATTTTTCAGCAGACTGAAAGTTCTGAATGGGTTTACTATTTTTTTTCTTTAATGGCAAATCAATTCTGTTTATTTATATAGCATGTCTTCACAACATGTCACCTCAAGAAACTTTACAGTCTATCTAGGAAAGAACCAGTTAAGCAGACAAGCTCTGAGCTGGATTCAAGCCAAAGAGTTAAACCACATACAGTTAGTCCCAGTAGAAGCAGAACCTATAGTTGTCTAGTTGAGAAAAAGGACTACACACTGAAAAATATGCCTAAATATCATCTCTAACAAAAAGTATTGATGATAAAAGCCCAACTGATATTTCTCTCCAGCATGGTGCCACTGCCAAACAGGAACTGACCAGATGAAGCTAGTGAGATGAGACAAAGTAGAGAAATGAAGTTGGGGAGGACTTTAACAAATACTGTAGAATGGGAGAATAGAAACAGAATGAAACACAATAATATGGATATAATATGCAATGATATGCAGAATCACATGGAGAACCGGTGAGTTTTAACATTTTATTCACAAAAAGTAACAAGAATCTAGAAGTGGAGAACTGCAGGAAGTTAGTCAAACTTTCTGATTGTTCTCAGGCAAGAAAGCAGACTGATCAGGAAGGAGCTGGTTGTGAAATCTGAGGTTGTTACTTGCAAGAGACTTTGTGCTGGAGAGCAAGCAGGTGATGAAGATTGAGAACAAACAAGTAAGACCTTTTCCATGAAGCTGGCAGATTAAATGAGTTTCACTAGTTGTCTGGAACAAGATCAGAGTCCAAATTAAAATTTCTACAAAGATATTCTTGGTGTAGGTCTTGGGCTGGAATACCATAAGGGGTAATCATCCATCAAAGAATGATAATTCACCTCCTTATGTACGCGCTTGTCATCTTGATTGAGATGTGTTTCAGGTGTGTAACATCAGGGGCGGCCCAGCCACCAGCAAAGATCCTCTCTGTAACAGGAAGCTCACTCACACCAGAAAATCAGCAAAATTAACTTTTGTGTTTATTTTAAATAATGCTAAACCTTTTATTTTTGCTTCACATGTTCAATACATTATTGATTTAGATACATTTTAATACCCTGTACAGATTTTATATGTACCTTATATGTTGATAATAAAATTAATTGTTTTCACATTTTCTAAAAAAAATACAAATAAAAAAAAGTCCCTTGTTTTACTCTGAAATGCTCTACAAATCTTGTCTTTATGGAAGAGTGGCAAGAAAGTGACTGGAAATTCTGATTGCAGTTTGCCACAAGCTATGTTTGAGAAACAGCAAACGTGTGTAAAAAGCACCCAGGTGAGATGAGAACAACATAAAAACCTTTTAAGCCTATATATACAGTACAATACTATGTATGTACTGCAAACAAACCTGAACAACAATGCTTATGTTGGGACATAGTGGTGGCAACATCATGCTGAGTAGAGGCATTTCTTAAACAGAAAGAGGAAAACTGGTCAGACTAAATCGGAAGATTGAAGGTGAAAAATGCAAATAATGACACTAAATATTCTGTAAAGCTAAAAGGGAATGGCTTAGATGAAAGGATATTTATGTTAAACTGAGAATATGTGGAAAGACTTAAACGTTTTTCTCCAATGGAAAAAAAAACAGGTATATTTTTGCAAGCCACGTTATTTCCATATTTTATTTTGTTTTTAATTTCTTTATAGATTGATGTTTGTTTTTGTCCAATTTCAAAAGCTGTCTGCTTTCAAAATATTTGCTGTTAGGATAAAATTTTAGATCTGAGTTTGGACTTTTTTTTTATTGTTTTTCAAACTGTAACTGGGCCCAATCATAATTGTCAGGCTCTCCTAATTTGTGACATACATCCTTCAAGTGGTCTATTTCGTATGGCAGCACAGAGGCATCATTTCTAACCTTGCGTGCTACATTTTGTTGGCTGCTTTGGATCAGTGGCCAATCAGCACACGCTGGGGTTGATTTGTTATTCTTGATGAGTTTAAATTGCACTGTTAGTCAGTCGGCTAGAGCAAAGGAATGGACAAAGCCACAGTGATCAACAAAGAACATGGAGGGGGTAGATCACTAAAATAAGAGCTGCGTAACATCCTCTTAGGTTTTTTTTTTTTAGTTTGCTTTGCCATTTTGTGAAGGAGGAAAAAAAATCCCTTTATTTACAGTGGCTTGCAAAACAAATAATTTCAGATTGTATTTACATTTCAGCCTATAAACTCTAATGTATTCTGTCTGTGTTTCATTTAAAAGACCAACACATAACAGAGCATTATCATGTGGAAAAAACTACATGCATTGTTTAATTATTGCTTTCAAGGTTGTCAAAACTGTGATATGCACATGCATTTACCCTAACTCATTTATTATTTTGTGTATTCAACATTTGTTACTTCAGTTATAAGTTCTTTGATACATCCATCATATTTGTATACTAGGAACTATAAATTATTCATTAAAAACAGCTCAAGCTCATTCAAATCAAATGCAGAATATCTCTGAATATCAGTTTTTGACTCTTTCCACAGATTTTTAATTAGATTTGAGAAAGGTCTGTCTGAGACTTCAGGAGTTTCATGAACATGTATGCACAAAGAAGAAAAAAAGAGATTAGGACCCAATACTCATTCCTGTGTTACACCATAGCGATGTTCAAATATATTACAGTATTTAACGGGACAAAGTGCAGGATTTTGTTAATTCTACATTAAACTAAATCCCTGACCATTCTGTTGTATTTCATGCACTTCATGAGGTTAAATTTACCCAGAAATTAAGTTACACACAGGTGGATTTTATGTACTAATAAACTGGCTCTTAATGGCAAATTGTGGTGGATGTAAACATTTTTTTAGAGATATTAGAGTAAATTTGACATGTAACACTAAAGAGGTTCATTTGTGAAAAAAAATAATAGTAATGTAATGTGATAATTTGATGTCACAATTGTGCACCATTTTGTGTGTCTCTGTTACCAAAAAATTACTAGTTATTGTGCGATAATTTTTGAAAAATTAGTTTGAATACTTTAGTAAAATCAGCAACAGGAAACAGTTTTATTTTGTTGGATTACTTTTACTTTTATTGTTTCATTAAGTTAAATGTGACTTAAATGGTCATCAGTCTTTATATTCTTTATTTCAAAGGAATGACAAACATGTTTTGTGTTGTCTACCTAGCTATCACCTGCCAGGTGTTCTGTAAACCCTTAAAAGTAAAATAATATATATATATATATATATATATATATATATATATATATATATATATATATATATATATATATATATATATATATATACATATATATATATACAGTAATGAAAAAAAACAAGTGAACTACACTGCAAGAAATTGAAAACTAACTTAGTCATAATTTCTTAAAATAAGTGCATTTTCTTGAGGAGGTTAGTGAGACACTTTGCCAATGGAACAACAACACAAGACAACTGCATTGACTTATTTCAAGCGCATATTTTCTAATTATGCTATCTGAAGAGAAAATACCTCGTTCCATTGGCAAAACATTTTTATCTACTCAAAATGAGGGTAAATATACTTCATTTAAGAAATTTGTACTTATTTTTAGTTAGTTTTTGCAGTGTACCAACCAGAATAAATGCTATCGTTATAAAAATGCACAAGTGATGGGCAAATAAACATTCATTGATTAATAATTAGTTTATGTAAGTTAGAGTGGTAGGAATCAGAGAGCATTGACCTAGAAAGTGCTAAGATGGTGTAAACAAGCAGGGGAATATAAATGTGGTTCAGGATTATCACTACGCGTGAAACAACCCAGTGGCTGACGGAGGTATGTGCTGAGGAAATGCTTTCTCCTCTGAGGAGTCTGCAGGGAAAGGGGAAAAAAAATCTGGACAAAAAAATTTGGATCACAACACTTTCCTTTTAAGGATATATCTGCCCCATTCGTCTGTAGCTCTGGCAACAGATTTTAGGAGGTTTATCTTATAAGCTGCCTCATTTCACATTACATTGCTGGTGTTGGCTGAGATTGTTAGCATTTCAGAATGTGGGAAACAAAGAGAAAGTAGGGGGATTAGAGAAAGATCCAAGTCAAAAATGCTTAATCAAAGAGTGCAACTATAAGGGAGCATAAAGTATTTAACGTATGACCAGGAGCCATGTTAAAGGAAGAGGAGATAGAAGCGCGACTTAGATGACAGGATTAAATCTGAGGAAGGAAAAAGGAAAGGGGGATGAATCTTGGCTAAAATGAAAGCACCAATCACTGCTCTGAAAAATGCTTCACCTCTCAGTGTTTAACTGTAAATAACAAGTGAACAATGTGTAGACTGTTAATGAGGGACTGTTTTGAAGCTACATTTTTAACATTTAGTAGGACATAAGGTCTGGAACCTTTTCAAAGAACACCAATGCAGTCTGCTTGACCTGAACATCCAGTGTTGTTTAATACAGATGGTGTTCTTTTCTAGTAGTATGTGAACAGTAATGAATGATCCAACTTTTCTGAGGAGTTGTGTTCAGAGGGTCTAAAATCTGGGGGAGACTGTAATCTTGTACGGACGTGGTTTCATGGTCAGACCAAAGTCTGTACTGAGATCCAGCTCTTGTCCTGGAACATTTTCAACCCGCAGAGATTGGAGCAGCATGGTGAGAAACACAAACATCTCCAAACGGGCAAATCCATCCCCGAGACAGCGCCTCTTCCCAAGGCCGAAGATAAAAACTTTCTCTGTCAGCTCCTTGTTCAACTGTCCAGATGGACCCTGGAAGCGTTGTGGACGAAATTCCTCTGGGTCCCCCCAAAGATCCCTGAATCAATATGAAAAACACGACAATTTAACAGCTTGGTAAATAATTCCAACAATAATTTCACAGATTTTGTCAAATTACAACCAGAGTTGAAAATATTTTAACTGAATTATATCTAAATCACAAACGCTCACCATTACCACTACCGAACAAGGAACTGAAAGGTTTATGCGGTGTGAATACTTTTGTACAGCAGAAAAACAGGTCAGAGTTTATATAAAAGACAATGCAGCTAAATACAGGTCAGATGTAAAGGAAAACTTGTTAAAGGCTGGAATAGATTAAAATCTGACACGGAATTCTAACTTCTAGCAGGACAAGGCTAAACTCACAGTCATTGATATAAAAAAATGGAGGTCAACGACCCCTAGGGGGTCCACGGAGGTACTGCACAAGTTTTCACACAAGTATCTATACTTTCTATTCCTTACATTTTTAAAACAAACGTTACTTGTTACTCTTGGCTTTGGTTTAATGTTTATAAATATTTATTTCACGTCATGTGCACCACCCAATGCAGATCATTGGCGCCATCCACATCTAGTGAAAACTAGTGTAATTGGATGAGTCATATAACGCAAACACTCATTGGTTAGCTAAAGGAAATCATCAGAAGCAAGCAGGTGTTCTTCAAACTGTAAACGTGAATTGTCTATGCTATGCTACAATGTCGGATTCAGAGAAAGATGTTGAAATGTCTGAAAGGTCGGACACAGGCGAGAGCATCAGATCAGGAGATGGAGACCAACAAGACCTCCCTCATCCTTGGCCCTATCTCAAAGAATTTTTTCAAAATAGTCGAAAAATTGAGCTTTCAGTTCATGTAGTGGCACCTGGCTGGTTTTATTAAATCCTACCTGAAACTACTGGCTAAGGATAAGGTTAAATACAGTAAGATTGTTATTCACGCTGGTGGTAATGACACCCGGTTACGCCGATCGGAGGTCACTAAAATTAGTGTTGCTTCGGTGTGTAAGTTTGCCAAAAAAATGTCGGACTCCGTAATTTTCTCTGGTCCCCTCCCTGATCTGACCAGTGATGACATGTTTAGCCGCATGTCGTCATTCAACCGCTGGTTGTCTAGGTGGTGTCCTGAAAACAACGTGGGCTACATTAATAATTGGCAATCCTTTTGGGGAAAGCCTGGTCTGATTCGGAGAGACGGCATCCATCCCACTTTGGATGGTGCAGCTCTTCTTTCTAGGAATCTGGCCACATTTATTAGTCCTCCAAAACCCTGACCACCCAGGGTGCAGACCAGGAAGCAGAGTTGTAGTTTAACACACATCTCTGCAGCTTCTCTACAGTTACCCACTCTTTACTCCATCCAGACAGTGTCTTGTCCACGACCAAAATCTAATAAATTAGCAAAGATTCCCAAAGGAGTAAATCATGATAATCTAATTAAAATCAAAATAACTCCAATTGGGGAAAAAGTTAAAACAATTAAATGCGGTCTGTTTAACATAAGATCGCTTTCCTCTAAAAGTCTACTAGTTAATGACTTGATTTGTGATAATCACATTGACTTGTTTTGCCTTACAGAAACCTGGCTGCAGCAAGAGGATTATGTGAGCATAAATGAGGCAACTCCTTCAAGCTATTTAAATTTTCACATACCCAGAAGTTCTGGGCGAGGAGGAGGATTAGCAACAATCTTCCAGTCTGACTTATTGATTACTCCCAAAACAGTTAATACCTACAACTCTTTTGAACATTTAACCCTTAATTTCCCTGATCCAAATTTCAAGGCAAGAAAACCTCTTCTTTTTGTAACTTTGTATCGTCCACCAGGTCCTTACTCTGAATTTTTAGATGAGTTTTCAGAGTTCCTTTCTGATTTGGTATTAAATACTGACAGGGTCATCATAGTGGGAGATTTTAACATCCATGCTGACATTGAAGGCGATAGCTTAAGAGCAGCCTTTAATGCTATCTTAGACACTATTGGCTTTGTTCAAAATGTGAATAGTCCCACACATTCTCATTTTCATACTTTGGATCTTGTGCTGACATACGGCATAGAATGTGAAGAAATAACAGTATTTCCTCACAACCCTGTCCTCTCTGACCACTTTCTAATAACCTTCAGGATTACTTTAACAGAGTTCTCCTCCCCCAAAAGAAGGTTAAATTTTAGTAGATCTTTATCAGATAGTGCAGTTATAAATTTTAAAGAATCTGCTTCACTTTCTCTCTCCTCTGTGTCGCTGAGCAGTGCTGCAGAGTGCAAAAGCATAGCTTATTCCCCTTCACAGGTTGATGATTTTGTTGATGGGGTTGCTAGTTCTCTGCGTATTGCCTTAGACAACGCAGCTCCTTTGAAAATGAAAACCGTTAAAAATAGAAAGCTTGCTCCTTGGTTTAATGCAGAGCTGCGTACTTTGAAGCAAAATGCTAGGAAACTGGAGAGAAAATATCGCTCCACAGGCCTGCGGGAGTCCTTCCTAGTCTGGAAAAATGGTTTAATGCTGTATAAGAGGACCCTTTGTAAAGCAAGAGCAGCATACTTCTCCTCATTAATAGAGAAGAATAAGAATAATCCTAGATTTCTTTTTAATACAGTTGCCAAACTCACCCAGAGCCATAGCTCTGTTGAACCGTCCATTCCACCTGCTCTTAGCAGCAATAATTTTATGGGATTCTTTATAAATAAGATTGATCTTATTAAAAATAAAATCATAAGCACTCCTCTATCTGCGATTGTACCTGTGGTAGTCATGGAATCTGAACCGGGTTTAGACTGCTTTGATCCAGTTGAACTTTCTGAATTAGCAAAATTATTGTCTTCATCTAAGCCTTCAACTTGTATGTTAGATCCAGTTCCAACCAGGTTATTTAAGGAGGTATTCCCTTTGATCTCCTCCTCCATTTTAGATGTGATTAATCTATCTCTGTTACAGGGATATGTACCTAAAGCTTTTAAGGTTGCTGTAATTAAACCTCTGCTTAAGAAACCGTCTCTTGACCCAGATGACTTGGTCAATTATAGACCTATATCCAATCTTCCTTTCTTATCCAAAATTCTTGAGAAAGTAGTTGCCAAACAAGTTTGCGATCACTTACACCATAATGAACTTTTTGAAGAGTTTCAGTCTGGCTTTAGAGCTCATCATAGCACTGAAACAGCTCTGGTGAAAGTCACTAATGATATTCTCATGGCCTCAGATAATGGACTTGTATCTGTGCTCGTCCTGTTGGATCTTAGTGCTGCATTTGATACAGTTGACCATAATATTCTTTTAGAAAGACTTGAATATTTTGTTGGAATTAAAGGAACAGCACTAGACTGGTTTAAATCTTATCTATCTGATCGAATTCAGTTTGTTCATGTTAATGATAGATCTTCAACACGCTCAAAGGTTACCTGTGGAGTACCACAGGGATCAGTGCTAGGACCAATTCTCTTTACTTTATACATGCTCCCAATTGGTAGAGTTATTAGACAGCATGGGATTAATTTCCACTGTTATGCTGATGATACCCAGCTATATCTGGCTATAAATCCAGATGAAGCTAACCCATTACATAGATTACAGGCATGTCTTGAAGACATAAAAACCTGGATGACTCTTAACTTTCTGCTTCTGAATGCAGATAAAACAGAAGTTATAGTCTTTGGACCAGAGTCTCTGAAAAAGAAACTGATTAGCCAGTCACTTCATTTGGATGGGATTAAACTGATTTCAGATAATAAAGTAAAAAATCTTGGTGTTATTTTTGATCAGGACCTGTCATTTAAATCCCATATCAAAGAGGTTTCTAGAATTTCCTTCTTTCATCTGAGGAACATTGCAAAAATTAGAAATCTCCTGTCCAGGGGTGATGCTGAGAAACTAGTCCATGCATTTGTTACTTCAAGGCTGGACTATTGTAATTCTTTACTATCAGGAAGTCCACAAACTGTAGTTAAAAGCCTTCAGCTGATCCAAAATGCTGCAGCCAGAGTTCTGATGAAAATTAAAAAGAGAGATCATATCTCGCCTATCCTGGCTTCTCTTCATTGGCTTCCTGTTAAATCAAGAATAGAATTTAAAATCCTCCTTCTCACATATAAAGCCTTAAATGGCCAAGCTCCATCTTATATCAGAGATCTGATTGTTCCTTATGTTCCTAACAGAGCACTTCGCTCTCAATCTGCAGGTTTACTAGTGGTTCCTAGAATTTCTAAAAGTAGAATGGGAGGCAGGTCTTTTAGTTATCAGGCTCCTCTCCTTTGGAACCAACTACCAGTTTTAGTCCGTGAGGCAGACACCCTGTCTACTTTTAAGGCTAGGCTTAAAACTTTCCTTTTTGATAACGCTTATAGTTAGAGTGGCTCAGGTTATCCTGAGCTATCTCTATAGTTATGCTGCTATAGGCTTAGACTTTTGGAGGACATAGGGACCCACATTTCATCATTCTGCTTCATTCTCTCTCTGTTCTCCTAACTGCAGAATCTGTTAGTTCAATCTCTAACCTTCTGCTCTCTCTGCTTTTCCTCAGAGTAGCTTTGCCTCGTCTGTTCCTGTTTGGCTGTGACGTCATCCTGGAAAGAAACATCAGCTGTGCTGCTTCCATCAACACCCTTGTTTATAGATGTTGGAGATCGGCCTGTTTTCCAGTGTGGTCCTGTTTCTCTGACCGTGACTGGCTGGATGTGCTCTCTTCGTCCTCTGGCATGGGATCTGCCTTGGAGCTTGTCTGCCTGGCTGTGTGTTTCCTGGACGGGGCCGCCTTTTACAGCTGCTTTTTGTATCTCTGCTTCTGTCTCCTTGAACCCCAGTCGGCCTCGGCAGATGGCCGCTCACACTGAGCCTGGTTCTGCTGGAGGTTTCTTCCTGTTAAAAGGGAGTTTTTCCTCTCCACTGTCGCTACAAGCATGCTTAGTGTGAGGGATTGTATTTGAGTCGATGCAATCAACTGGTTTTCCTTAGATAGAAAACTTTGTATCAATTTGACTGTATGATCTGGTTGAACTGTAAAGTGCCTTGAGATGACATGTGTTGTGAATTTGGCGCTATATAAACTGAATTGAAAATTGAATTAAAGGTTACTTTATACTAATAGTAGTAGTAGTTTTTGGAGCACATACTTTTTCACTTTTACTTGAGTAAAGAGGTCAAGTTGATACTAAAACTTTTACCAGAGTGTGACAAATGTGTGTACTATTGACACCACTGATGCACACATTCAGCGACACACAGGAGCTCTTTCAAGCTGGGCACCGTTTCGTTCTCTTCAAGACTGGATTACTGTAACAGCCTGTTTACCTGTCTGAGCAAGAAGGAGCTGGGTCGCCTACAAATTGTCCAAAACTCTGCTGCAAGACTCCTGACCCGTACAAATAGGACAGCCCATGTAACTCCTCTCTTGAAGTCCCTACATTGGCTTCCTGTTGCTTCCAGGATAAAGTTTAAAATCCTGGTCCTTACCTTCAGGGCCCTTCATGGACAGGCGCCTGGCTACATGACAGGTCTGATCCAGCCGTATACATCGGTCCGTAGTCTACGGTCTTTAGGTCAAAATCTGCTTATGGTTCCTCGGACCCGTTTTAAAACCCGAGGAGACCGGTCCTTTAAAGCGGTGGCACCCCGTCTTTGGAATGAACTCCCCCTGTCCCTGCGCTCTCTGGACTTGGTGGACATCTTTAAAAAACAGCTAAAAACACACATGTTTTCACTAGCCTTCCAAAGCACATAGCCTGTTGTTTTATTCCCTTATTTATTATAGCTTTTATTGCATTTTATCTGTTTTCCTTGTGTTGTTTTTATGTTATCATGTGAAGCACTTTGTGACTTTGTCTGTGAAAAGTGCTATACAAATAAAGTTTACTTACTTACTTACTATTCACAACACCTGTCCCATAAATGAAAAATCAGAGTCAGAAATACTTGAATAATCCCAGAGCAAAATTATTCACCTGCCTCTCTTCTTACCCTGATTCCCCCATCACTCTGGAACAGGGTAAATCTGGAATCATCAAACCACATGACCTTCTTCCATTGCTCCACAGTCCAATCTTTATGCTCCCTAGCAAATTGAAGCCTTTTTTTCCGGTTAGCCTCACTGATTAGTGGTTTTCTTACGGCTACACAGCTGTTCAGTCCCAATCCCTTGAGTTCCCTTCGCATTGTGCGTGTGGAAATGCTCTTACTTTCAGTATTAAACATAGCCCTGAGTTCTACTGTTGTTTTTCTTCGATTTGATCTCACCACATCACAATCATTCAGGATTTTTTTCCGGCCACATTTCTTCCTTGAAGATGATGGGTCTCCACTATCCTTCCAGTTTTTAATAATGCGTTGGCAGTTAACCCAATTTTAGTAGTTTTCTCTGCTTGATGTATGCCAATGATTTGACCCTTCTCAAACACACTAACATCTTTTCCACGACCACAGGATGTGTCTTTCGACATGGTTGTTTAGGAAATGAGAAGCAAGTCATTGCACCAGTTGGGGTTAAATAACTTGTTGCCAGCTGAAAGATAATCGCCCATGCAGTAATTATCCTATAGGAGGCTCGTACCTATTTGCTTAGTTGAATCCAGGTGGCAACTTTTTTTTTGGCCAGGCAGCGTTTAATTAGGGGGTCCCCGCTTTATCTCGCCATCAGTTTGGGGATCCTCGGCCTGGAAAACGTTGAAGACCCCTGCTTTGAATTTAAGTATATTGAAATCTTAGAATAGACTAGCTTACAGACATGTTTTATTCAATCTGGCTGGGTTGGAGCCATTTTGTGAAGAATAAGCAAACTCTAGATCCAAAGCTACCACAGACGTTCCCTGAAATACTCACAGCTTTAATAGCTGTGAAAGGTTGTGTTTAAAAAGGCACGCTGAATACAAATAAACTCTAAACTTTTATAGTTTTTATTTCTTTTCTTTTTCCTCGACTTAAACACATGCTTGTTTGTGTTGCTCCTTTATAAAAAAAAAAAAAGCTATAATAATTGTAGTTGAAGCAAAAAAAAAGATATGAAAAGGTTCAAGGGGTAGGATTACTTTTAGGAGGGACCCTAAATGCATCACTTAAAGAGATTTTATTCTGTACTGAAAAAGAAGATAAACGCTCAGAGATCTTGATCCTAGTTGATCTTGTAGTAAATCCTATTTAAAGCAATAAGTCCTTTCCCCTTGTGACTACTCACACATCATGATTGACTTGATACTGGTTAATGAAGACACATGTGTCCTTTGGGATGAAATATCCATTCAGGATGGTGTCCCTGGTGGTGCTGGAGATAAAGAGAGATATGGAAAATTTGGTCGTTATTTGTGCTGAAACCGCTGATGTTCTGAAGCCAGAAAGATCTGGTCTTACCAGTGAGGAATGGTGAAAGGAACATAGGAAGAGTGACGAAACACCTCGTATATGAAGGCTTCTGTAAAGGCCATGCTGGGCTTATCTGAAAACCGGGGAGGTCTGGCTGAACCAATGTGTTCATCTTAAAAGAAAAGGAGACGTCAGATCCAAAGGAACATTTTCTTATTTGCTGTTTATTATAACTTTCAACTATTACGAAAAAACTTCTTAGTAGTATTAATATCCCTTTAACCTTATGATATTTTGTCACAGTTAAAGTAAATACATATATGTGAGTGGGATTTTCCATGTTAGATCGACAGAGAGTAAAGCTTTACTGAGTTCGAAAAAGTTTATTTGAAAACAAGAGCTTTTTGATGTAATGCTTCTGATTAGGGTTGTAACTAACGATAATTTTGTTAATCGATTAATCTGTCGACAGTTTGTTTGGATTAGTTGATTAATAATCGGATAAAAAAAAGGACCCTAAAACAAGATTTTTTAAAGAATCAAACCAAATTAAAACATTTCAATTTCAGGAGTTCTGGGTAGAGAATATTAATGGAAAATAAAACTTAAATACAAAATGTTGTTTTTTTTTTTGCTATTTTGGTATAATTACTGCTCCAACTAATTTGCTCTGTCAGTTACAGGCATGTTTTAGAGTCTCTATAATCCAGTTAATGAATAATCGATCACTAAATTAGTTGAAGATTGTTTTAATAATCGATTAATCACAATTAATCTGATTCATTGTTTCAGCCCTATTTCTGATAATGGGTTTTTAGAGTTACAGCTGCAATTCTAACGGTGTAAAGATTTACCAGCATTGGGCTTTTTTTTCTTCATTCTTCTTTGGTAAATAGCTGAAGAACATTAAGGAAACTCTTAAAGCTGTATCTCTATCTTATTAGAAATTCTTAATTGGACTTAGAGTTGGTCATTCTAACACATGGATAAGCTTTCACTACCAGCAAGCCTTAAACAATATCCGTGATTCATTGTGATTGATTAAATACTCAAATAATTGTAAAATAATTTAGTAAACAAATATTTGTTAAATGCAGTATACAGATTCTGAAACAGGCCCAGAACAACCAAGTCAGAGGCAAAAAGTAAGACCAAACTTTAAAAAATATATATACGTTTGAGGATTTACAATTTAAAAAAACTTTGTCTGTGCATATGCACTTTTCATAAGAGGCATAGTTTTAGCTTTACTTAGTTCACTGTCTAGAAAAAAATGATCCTCTATCAAGCACATTTTGTTGTCTGATTAGTAATCTGTCAATCAAAAAAATTTTCAACAGATTAATTATGAGCAAAAAAAAAAGAAAATATTTAGTTCCAACCCTAATCACAAGCTCATTGTAAATGTAGGTAACTGTAGGTTTAGGGTTGTTATAGTGCTGGAAGTTGAACCTGACCCAGATTTAGATCCCTCATTTACCCGATAACTCTAACCAGCTGCCACGTTTATGATTAAACAAAGTATTCACAAAGAATAATGAATCAAATGTCAACCTTGAGAACATTATAGTAGCAGTGAACATTATTTCTTGGGTGATGTTCAGTATTATTCTTCAGCCAAACAGGCCAGAAAGTTTAAGTTTAGTTCCATCTGACCAGAGCTTCTCTATTATCGCAAGATTTACACATAGACACAGAGTTTTTATGTCAACAGATTATCCCTCCAACTGATCTCTGCAGCACCTCCAGATTTCTGATAAGTCACTTTGCTGCTTCTTAATTGTTTTCAATGTCTACAACCCATATTTCAGAAGTGTTACATTGGTTCTACCTTTAAAATATGTTATTTGGCTTTGGTAAATCGTGTTTCAATCATACTCCATTTTATGCTCATTCAAGAAAATCAAGGCTTTGTCAAAAAGCTACCCAGCAAACTAAAGCCTCTTAGCCTCATTCTCTCTGATGTTTTAGTTAAGGACAATGGTAAATTACAGGCTTCAGAGCCTTGCGTGTCACTGCCTTTGTGTCTCTCTTGAACTCTCCGAGCCTTGTCCTGTTCTTGTTCATCCTGTCACCTCCTAGCATCCCCCTCCCTTCCTGTCACTGTGAAAAATGCAAAGTGCCTCAGAACATTCAGCACCAGTTCAATCACTCCGTATCAAAAGCATCTCCAATGTCAGCAAAGAAACAGGCTGACCTTTGGTGAGTTCTTCTCGAGCCGGTTGGCTTTTTATGCCTGTTTCTTTAGATATAAAAAATTATATACTGCTTGTTATCTCCATGAATATTATAGAACAAATTTTTCTCCCAAATGCAGCATTTTCATCTGATTTATAGATGTTTCAGATTGTTCTGAAGCCTGATTTGACTTTGATCCAGCTTCACCACGTCACCCACATTATGAACTATTGTAGTTTGATATTGTCTCTATAATAAACCAGCAGACACAAACTCAGGCTCATTAGTGATGTACTACTTGGATTCATTAATGAGCAACCTGCTATTTTTGGACAATAAGACCCTGACTCATTCATTAAACCCGACAGACTCACGCTATCTAGCTTTGCGTACATTCTTTCTGTTCTGATAGGCGGCGCTCACTCTCATTTAAGCTTTACATTTTTATTATACACATGGTCCAACAGTTTAAATCTTGATATTTTTCATACCTATCTCCAGGTGTATTCTGTCCTGGATGTCGGGGAACTTGATAAGGTACAGCAAGCTCCACTGTAACCCAGCAATGATGGTGTCAAAACCTTAAGAAAGCAAAAACTGCATAGCTGCAGGAAAACCAAAGCAGTAATGTTATCAAGGTACTTATAGCAGTTGTTCTTACCTGCTCCAAAAATGTCTATGACGGTGTGGATTATCTGAGAGTCAGTAAGCAGAGATGTTTCCCTATTCTCTTCTCTGTCTTCACAAAGTGCAATCAGAGCATCGGTGATGTCCCTGATGCAGTTCTGCAACCAAACATACAGAAAATGTCCAACAATTTCATGGCCTGTTTTCTCAAGACAGTTATTATTATTAGATCTAATATCATAAAACCTTGGCCCTCTTATAGAGGGACGCGTGTCTTCCACTAGGTTGGTAATTCCTAATTAGAGTGCGTGCGAACATTTTAGCCACTCTGCACAAAAACAAAAGTTCATCCCAGGGGACTTGTTTGTTATTTTTCTGGCTACGGTTGCCATCCCTCTATGTGTGCAATCTCAGATTAAAACAGTGAGTTGTAAATAATTATGAATAAACTGAAAGTTGCACATATGCAATGGCCAAAATTAAGTAACCATGTATTTGCATCATTAATCAAATAAATTAAATAAAGTAAAGATAGAATTATACATATTGTAAAGTAAGAGACCTTAAGACACAGATTTCTTCAGAATGACCAGGCTTCTTTACCTTATCGAAGGTTCTGATGTGTTCCTCGATTCTTCGTTCCATAAATCCGTTCATTCTCTGAATGTACTGGACCATTTTTCTTAGAGAAGGGCTGGGAAAATGACGAAACACTGGGAAGAAGTCTGCAAGGTTCCCGGCTGCAAAGAGCTTAAGAACCTCATTGTTGATGTTGACGATGGTGAGAAACTCCTTGTCACTGTGGTCATACCTCCTCCCAAAACATAGGGCACGCACAACGTTTGCCACAGAGGTCACTAACGACGTTGCTGGATCTATAGCCCTCAGCTCAGGGCTCTTAGCAGCTTGTTCCCGGATCACCGCCACCATCTCAGCAGCTTCAGCACACACCTGCTCCTCCAGGAGGCAGGTGGCCTCTGATCCCCTCGGTTCAGCTTGCGAGAAGGATCTCAGGGCATTTTTGCACAGCTTCTTATGGAGCAGCCATGCAGGTCCATACTTTTCACTGAAGGTCATGCTGGTCCCATCGGCTACGGCGGAAAAAGTGAAAAGTTCAGGTCTTCCAGCAAAATCTTCCCCCTGACGAACCAGTGCCTGTCTGATAGTATTGTATCCACAAAGGATGACCACTGTTAAGGAGCCAAAACGCATCTGAAGCAAAGACAAACACAGTGCCTGTCAGAGGTTTATATAAACAAATCATAACTAAGAGTGTTCAATTAATTGCAACTTATAAAGTTTAAATTTCAAACATTCATTTTCCAATTTGGATTCACCATGAAAGAAATAATTTTAATTAAAATTAAAAAAGGGGATACAAGTTTCAACTTAATGCATATTTTCCATATTCAATTCATGGTAAAAATAACACATTAACCTCTGTTAATATGTGATCAATAGTACCTTAGTAAGATGCACCTTAGCGACTGATTTTCAGAGACATCAATAAGCCTCTGAACATTTTCTAAACCATATCCGATCGCTGCCATAGAGAGGATTGCTTTAGTTTCTGAAATTAGTTTTATTTCCTGGTAAAGATTTTAATCCAAGTTCAATGATTTTAGGATCAGGGTTTGGTTGGGCTCTATCAAAATGCCAAATATTCAAAATGGAAGCCACCGGTCCCAAGGTTTACCCCCTAAGTTAAAGAAAATTTAGCAGGGTGTTCAAAACCAACTGGGGACCAACTAAACCATCTAAAAGTGTGCAAGTCTCCCTAATGTGGATCTAAGCAGTTAACTGATATATAAATGTCTGCTTGAAAGGGACATGGTAAGGCTCTGCAAATACTTTATTAACTTTAAAGACCCTTTACTTGATTTTATTATAATCTCTCCAAGAAAAATGGTTTTACATGGTTTATTGTGTGGCAAAAAAATTCTCCATGAATGAAGGCTGGGTTGGGGCTTACAGGTCAAACAAAAGAGTTGCCCTTGCTTATGGTTTAAAGCTGTGCAGAATAAGGTACTGTCCCTTTAAGCATGGTGGTGGGAGCATCATTGAAAGGGGTTTTTACTTTTGGACAGGTGTACTTGTGAAATGTATATTTAACTAATTTGACCAAATTATTAATTTATGTACAATTTTTAAATGCAGGGTTGTAGAGAAATCAATTCATGTAGATGAAGATATATGAGAAAATTGCGAACAAGTCTGCTGTGGGCAGAGGCGGAGCTAGATGGGGGGCCAGGGGTGGCCATGGCCACACTTAGCCAATCACTGGCCACCCCTGTGACCACCCCTACCATTTTTTACCCTCTAATACAGATGGTGGCAGGTGTCATACTCTCAAGTGGAATATTGATTTTAATTTTTCATATATTACATACTATTTTTTTCCATGTATTCCTTAATGAAAACACTGTGGCTAATTATGCACATCAATATAGTAACAATAAATATAAGTACAGAATTCATGCTCTTTTCAGAAGTCGAATTTTTGTTATATGGGGTAAAGAAAAAATTAGATGTCTCAACAAGTCATCTAGGAGTCTTCAGTGAAATCATAGATATAAATAACTATTTTAATAAAAAAGTATTGAATAATCAAATTATGTAGGTATTAGTACTTGTAAATATCAATCTTATGCAGAATGATTATTGATACAAGTAGGTAAGTAATGACAATGGAAAAGATTTATGCCCCAGAACTCAAAAGAATTTTATCCACTATGCCTTTTATCTAAGAAAGCACAGATGTTTAAATATATGCATCTATTTGTTAGCAAAGGCTGTATCTTTGGCCTGACCCTGGGGTTTTAGTGCCAATCCACTTGCAGCCACCCCTCAGTGTTTAATGGTTATTGCCTGGCCACCCCTATAAAAATTTCTGGCTACGCCTCTGGCTCTGGGCAAGACTCCACCATTGATTGTGGAGTTAATTAATTGTCCAGCCAAAATTATACCAGAAACTTATTGGAAGCGGCTAAAAAACAACAACATTTATTTCTCTTACAAAGTGACATAAATGAGTACTTATATTGAGACTTGTTGTATTTCTATCTTATAGAAGGCAGAAAAATCCAACTTGAATTTAGATCTGCACAGCCAGGTCTATTGTTTTGTGAATTCACGCTGGAAAAATAATGTCTGAAATGGGTGGCTTATAACCCCTCAAGATAGATGCACATAATTAGTGTTTGAAAATGTTTCAATTACTACATCCTAAACAGTAATTCAGACCAAAAAACTCCCATGACCTTGAAAACATCACCATACTGTAGTCCCAGGGAAGTGAGAGTGAGATGCATCTGGTCACCCATCTGGAGCAGGTTGCCCACAATGGGCCAGGGCTTGGGGCCCGGAGGGGGAGGGAACTTTGTTTTCTCCAGCTGGTAGTCATGGCGGTAGGGGAAGAAACATCTGTGGTTCTGTTTTACCCTGATGGCCATCAGAACCAGGGTAAAAACACACAGAGCGATGGTGACAATAGACAGGGGTGCAGCAGGGTCCTCCTTCCTTGGCAGATATCCTGACAGGATCAGCCCCATGTTATCAGCTAAGAGAAGAGCCCAGAGTCAGAGCAGTGTTTAAAAATTGTTAGTGTTTTGTTTTTTGTTTTTCTTTTCCCAAAGAGAGAGGAAATCTGAGGCAGGAAGCAACGAAAAAAAGAAATCCGGATTAGAAATCCATACCAAAATTACAGTTTTTCCTATTCTTATAATCCGCCTTTTAGCATATAGAAACTCCTCTCTGTGGGATTTCGCAAAAGGACAAACAAACTGGAAAATGGCTGTGCAGGATGCGGAATGTCTTTAAGGAAACTTACCACACTTTTCCTTTGCAGATTTCAGAGGTAAACAGCTGAAGCGACAGAGCCTTCACAGAGCAGAGCAGCAGAAGTTTGTGGTTTAATGTAGAGGAGGGTCTCACTGGGGAAACGGAGAACTCCTCCTTTGGAGAGGAAGCTGCACCCTCCCTAAAGGGCTCAGTCTGCCTGCACGCGCTGCAGGACCAAAAACATTAATGAGGGCGCATGGATCAAAATGCTTGTTACCATGATCGGGAAAGAACGCATGCTTTTTGTCTTTATTCTTCCTCCAAATTTATTCAGTATTTTCATTTTCCTGCGGCTATTTTTATGTATTTAGGTCATATATCTTAATAGCCATGTTAAAACAGTAACCAACGGATAACTCGTATTTCATAGTGAAACTGAAACAAGTTCGCATGATTTGTCACCAGAGGGCGCTCTTTAAGCTTTTAAATCCACGCCGTTTAGTACAGAAGAGGATTAGGGCCACTGAAAAATCAGAATTCGGAGATCAATCTCCGAATTCTGACTTTAATCTCATAATTCTGACTTTTTCCTCGTAGTTCTGACTTTAATCTCATAATTCTGACTTTAATCTCATAATTCTGACTTTTTTTCTCATAATTCTGACTTTAATCCCATTATTCTGACTCAAATCTAATAATTCTGACTTTTCTCATAATTCTGAATTTAATCTCATATTCTGTAAAAAGTTGCCTAATTCTGTCATTTTTCACCAATGTGTTACTGGCCCTCTCAAACAGCTCACATTTTTGTCAGTGAAGCTGATTGCATCTCTTCCTTCATGGTGCCCATCTACATTACAATCCAAAATTATGAGATTAAAGTCAGAATTCTGAGAAAAAAGTCAGAATTCTGAGTTTAAAGTCAGAATTCTGACTTATTTCCCCATATTAAATTGAAATAATATTTAAAAATCAGTTCACTTTTTTTTTCTTTTTTTGTTCAGGGGCCCTAATCCTCTTCTGTAGTTTAGTAAAACAATTTATCCAAATCTTTGTATTTCTGACTAAATATCAGAAATCAAGGCGAATACAAAGAAATATAAATATCACAGACATCACTACTTGTAATGATCCATTTTCAAAGACTGGCAGGAGGGCCTATTGTAACCGCTCATTGACTTTTATGTTATTATTGGAATAATATTTGTGGCTGACCTACAGCGCCTTGCAATTTCTGGTTTGGCTTTTTCAAAATTTAAAAAGGATAAAGTATTTCAAGGGTTTATTTCACTGTCAGTTTTAATATTTTCTTCATTAATTATGCTTTATCTTTGTTCATCCTCATTTTGTATGTGTTTTTCTATCAGTTTAGTTTATGGATTAAAATTATCTGTTATTTTAAAGTAATGCATGGTTGGTTTCTAAATATGTGCTAAATATACTTTTTTTTTTTTACATGTTATATACTTGAAAGATCTGGTTTCCAGTGTTTATATCTTATACAGCACCTCATGTGCTAGAGAGCAGATTTTAATATAGGGTTTTTAATAAAAAAAAAATATATAAATAAATGAACAATTATATTAAAATAAATATGGCATATAGTGTAGTGTGACTAAATATAATTGTTAGAATAATCCCCCCAAAATATTCAATAAATATTTACGTTAGAAATATTTTTTTACAATGAAAATAGTAGTCTTTTGCTACATTTATTAAGCTCATATGTGAACATTTGACAAACATACAAAAGGGTCCATTTAATAAGAAAAAAAATGACACATTGTTTTTCCTCTTTCCATGGAGTCGGCCATTTTATCTGTTGTCATGTTGTTTTCATCTTCTCGGAGCTGCAGTCTGACCTCTGCCTCTTCCAGGGCCTGGTTGAGGCGACCTCATGTTTCCAGGAGGCCCTCCTCTTGGCCCAGGGGCCCGGGTGACTGGCCCCTTAGGGTTGGGGGCAGCCAGCGATACCTCCTTTTGTACATTCACTCCTTTTCCTGCTGTGCCAGGCTTTGTCTTAGTTGATTTGCTGTGCTTGTCAACTACAACCTCTGAAAAGACAAGTGAGAAAAAAAAAGGTAAGGGTTAATCTAAATATATGTTATAATAATGTATTAAAAAAAACATTTGAACATTGTGTACCAGAAACTTTCTCCTCCTCAGCTGGAGGCGGCGCTAGAGATTTATTTGGCAGCAGGTCTTCCAAGTCTTTCATTACTTGATTAGTGCTATCCTTGTTGTTCCTCCTATTCTTCTCATCTTCTCGAGCCTGAAATACGAACCAGTTTAGCAGACAAAAAAACAAAACACTTTTAAAAATTAAAAGAGAACAAAAACCACACCAATACTGACCATTTTCATCTTCTTCCTCAGGTCAATATTTGTTTGTTGGTATGCTTTTGACACTGTGTTCAAATAGTAGATGGCCAATCTGTGAAGCAGAAAAAGCTTATACTAAAAATTATTGCAGATGTGGATAATTCAGATTAACTTAAAGAGTCTAAAGACAGACTTGAAAGACACAAACAGAAAATGGATAATTCACAGTCAATTGACATGTGAAAAAATAAAACCTTTTTTTGGCAGACAGAAAAACAACATTTAATTTGTTAATTTTTTGTCTAATATTTAAGTTTTACTTACATCATAAGGAGGATAGCAGGCATAATGAGCCCAGGGTTGCTAGCATATGTAAAGATGTTCCCAATAAAAGCTGGTAGATCCTGCTCAATAGTCTCTATTACCACATCATACATCTTCTCTTGACCACTGAAGGAACATGTTAAAATATTTCACAATAGTTTAGCATCTCTTTAGATTAGTGGTTCAGCTAAATCAGAGATTAAGCAAACATAGACTGTTATTGTCTGAAAGGATTAATCAAATTTGAGGTTGACATTTTAACAGAAAAAAAAAACACATCGCTTAAAGGAGAATTCCGGTTTTTAACACTTTTAGCCCATTTTCTGTAGTGTCCAGGATGAAATCGAATGATCGACACCAAAATTTTGACAATTGGTCCTGTCTCTGCTTTTTGGCTCATTTAGAATCCACCCCTGGCTGCTTCAGAATGGCTTCCATAGTGCATGTCCGATAATGTCCTTAAAACAACCTTAAACGTTCTTTTTTTAAAATATGCTACTCACCGGGTCGTCAGCGCTGTTCAATGACGTTCCAAAAAAAGTTTCGTAAAGAAAAAACGTTCCTGTAGTGTTTTATTTAGCATTTTGTAAATCCCATTGAGTTCTGTTGGAATAGTCAATATTCCCCTGATACCGGAAACGGAAATAGGGCCTGTTTACACAGTTGTAGTCTTTTCGCTTCACTCTGTGTACTCCGACGTCGAGAATCAAGAATCCACCTTTCGTATTCCATTTTCAGAGTTTTTTAAAGTGTTTAACGGAGACGTTAGCACCTCGACGTCGGAGTACACAGAGTGAAGCGAAAAGACTACAACTGTGTAAACAGGCCCCATTGCCGTTTCCGGTGGCAGGGGAATATTGACTATTCCAACAGAACTCAATGGGATTTACAAAATGCTAAATAAAACACTACAGGAACGTTTTTTCTTTACGAAACTTTTTTTGGAACGTCATTGAACAGCGCTGACGACCCGGTGAGTAGCATATTTAAAAAAAAGAACGTTTAAGGTTGTTTTAAGGACATTATCGGACATGCACTATGGAAGCCATTCTGAAGCAGCCAGGGGTGGATTCTAAATGAGCCAAAAAGCAGAGACAGGACCAATTGTCAAAATTTTGGTGTCGATCATTCGATTTCATCCTGGACACTACAGAAAATGGGCTAAAAGTGTTAAAAACCGGAATTCTCCTTTAAGTTACTTGGTCACTTTGGTCTATATTTGTATGATTGCATCACAGATTCATTGTTGATTTGTTAGCTGCACATCCATGGTGCAGAGAGTTCATTTATTTAAGAAAGCAGTTTGGGATAATTTCAGCTTTGCCTGGATGAAAACTAACCTGCTGAAAATAGGCATCAGGGGATAGAGGTTGTAAAGAGATGGACATAGTCAGCAACAATAGTCACATAGAAAGATTGTGGTGTTTATTTTAGGCTAAGGGGCGTAAAGTCCAACAAGAAATGATTCTCTACTGCCTCAGTTGTTGATTCAAGCTAGGATAAGGTTTTCATGTTGAGTGAAGCGAATTCAGTTCCTATTGTCACGCCTGAGTTATCCAAACTTCATTGTGTTACAAGTAGTTTTGAACCGATACCGATACCAGTATCTGGCAGGGCCCTGATCCAGCACTAAAATGGAGTCGGTATCAGTATCGGCGAGTACCAGCAAATAGGGCACCGATACCATCTTGAGAGCCAAAAGTTTATTCAACTATTGTCATCCATTCCAGGTAGGCAATAAAAAGTTCTACTGGATTCACTTTGTATTAGTCTTTTTCCTGCTTCACAAAGGTAGGCAGCAGATTGACAAAGCCATGATAGCAATTCTTTTACATCCAAGTAGTATCCAGTTCTTTATATATACACACACACATCAATTTCAAACAGATGGTATCAGTATGGTATCGGTATCAGCCAATATTGCACAGCCAGGTATCGATATCAGTATCAGGGCCAAAAAGTGCATCGGCACAACACAAGTTACAAGGACCTTCTGTGGGATTTTCTGATTGTAGTGGTGCTCTGCTGTTTTAGTTCGTTAGTCTTCAAGGGTCAATGATTGGAGTATCAAGAGACAGTATTTTATGTTTGGTGATTTCTAAAAGTTGATTACTTTGCGTTCAAGTTATTTTTCAGTTTTGCTTATGTTTATTCCTATAACTTTTGGGATCTGAGAGGCGTGCATAGGAAGGTCAGGTGACATGGGTGAGCCAGAAAGACCAGGGTATAGGCATTTTTCCAGTATTAGGAGGGGCTGCAGGGGATCACGACTGTCTGTAAGTTTGCCAACAATGGTAAGTAAATTTACTAAAACACATCCTCCAATATGGACATTGATTATTTATTTTTAACCTGCATAAAATCCTGATTGTGCTAGGGTGGCTGTTTGTTTGGATAAATGCAAAGGATAATAGCCACAAGACTAAGGTTAATTTTGCCTTTCTATCCATCTCAAACCAGTCTTTCTTATTTAAGCCGATTTCAAATCTCAGCCAGCTGTTTTTACCATGATTACAGCACAACATGCATTACGTCCCTACCATGCAACCT